TGCTATGGGAATCAAGGAGGAACAAGGATTTTCTAAGTTGGTTCTACATATTAATTCTGAAGGGATGCAGCAATTTTGCCCTCCCTGGTGCCTTYTCCTCTACCCTCCTCTTCTCTCCCCTTCTCCCAGATGCCTGGCACTGMTGGCATTATCCTCCACCAAGTCTAGCTCTGTGGGAGCCTGCGGTAGGTGTGCTGCCTTACAGAGCCTCACTGAGAGCAATAAGCAGAGGAGATCAAAGACAAATATGAAAATAATCAGGTTAAAGTCATAGGCAGAGAGTCCACACCAAGAACAAAACCAGCATGACACACCTACTGCTCTCCTCAGAGCCTGGGGACCTGGCCTGTTCTTGTGGCAAAAAGCAGCTGTACATACAGGTAAAATGTTCTGGCCAACAACAAGCTTGCTGAAGCAGAAGACACTTTCAATTCATGGTTATAATTGAAAGGACCATCACAATTTCTAGGCAGAATTGAAAATTCAACCATTATGACAGTCTATTTATCTGCGTGACAAAAAAAGTGACCACTGCTGGCCCCCAGTCTGGCTGGAACATTGGCACCATCAGCTTCATAAAGCCTCCCAATGTAAGCAGCCAGCTCTTCAAAGAGAAACTTAACAGAGGAAAACCATCCAGCCTTTTTTATCTACACTTTACTGGTAATTGCAAAAAACTGGGGATAGCCATTTACAGAGACACCGCACCTTCAACCACCTCCACACGTTAAACACGAAAAGAAGTTAAYTTCTCTTTTGCCTCCTTGTAACAAATTATAAAGTCAAAACCTAGCAGGATGATGGGCAAGGACACTGAATAGAGGCAAACACAACTCTGCATCAGAATGGAGGAGAGCTGGTGTTCAACAACACTTTCAGAAAATTAAAAATTCAGTTTCTTCATCTTCCTTCCTTCCCCTTTAGCTAGGCAAAAGAACTGAACCTCCTCCCCCTAAAGGCACATGAGAGGTGTGACTTATTATTTTTAATAGCACTGAAGATTTAAGCACTTCTTCATCTTCCCTGTTCCATATTTCATTCATTTTGTTTTGCTGTTAGAGCAAACAGGATCCAGGCTTTTTTCCCCCCTAAATCCTGCATGGTATCTTTCACCTGGTCCCATTGACATAACTAAGGAGAGAGGCAAGCAGCAGAGGCTGTATCTCCACAGAAACTTAAKGAATAAAAGACAGGAAGGAAGTCTCAGGACAGACTTCACACATTCTCCAGCAAAACCTGGAGGTCATTTGTGGCATTTTCAGAGGAATGAAAAACACCGTGTCTGATTTTTCTTCACAGCCTCTGTGTATGCTGTACACCTAATTATTTCTCAAGTCTTGATCATACTTAAGGATAATCCCAACAAACATCTCTAAACCAAAAAATAAAACTGGASAGAAGAAGTAGATTCAGCCAAGCAAGCACACCAGTTCAGCTAAGTGTGCCAGCTCTTAAGAGGCATCAAATTCAGACCYTGCCCTCCTTAATTAAAAGCTTTGCTTTGCCTTGCCAAGGGAGAAATCTGACAGCCATTAACTACTCTGCTCCAGAAATAATTCTGCACACAACAGAYGAAGGGAACAGCAGCAGTGAACTACTGTAACCCATCTTGGAGATATTTCCTCCTGGCACTCAAGTGCAAGGTTGCATTTCCACTCCCAGCAACAAGAGTCTACTTTCTCCTCTCATGTCCTTCCACCTCCGCACTCCTTCCCAGATGTCCTTCACARGGCCATGTTGGTACAGATGTTCCCGCAGCCAGGATGAAAGCCCCTGTGCTGCCCTGATCAGCCTGAAAGATAACACAGCAGGGGAGGAAAAGAGTGACTGTGATCTGGCTCAGCACAAGGCCACGGGAACAGCTGTGCTGGCACAACACAGCAAGCAGGAGCAGTCCATGCACCTCACCATGGAGCAGAGCTCCATCACTCTATCAGCTCATTGGTTCCAGGCTGAACAAGAGTCCCAGTGACACAGGACAGCCACCCTTCCTCACCTTCACCCTGTGCCCCCATTTGGCTCCACAGTGAGCAAGCTGAGGGCACTGAGCTTGCCAAGTTAACTGTGCCAAAAAGTAGTTTTCTGTGAGTTTAGTTTTCCTGATTGATGCATCACAGAATCAGGCAGGCTTCCATGCCTGTGCAGAGCCTCCAGGTCTGGTTAGGCACAAACCCACATGCCTGCCAGATGCCACATTCCCCTCTGTGTGGAGGGACGCTGGGAGATCCCCTATTTGAGACCGCTGATAGTTTTCTGCCTCCTGTTACTGTATTCAACCTGCTCCTATCTAGCCTGGCTAACAGAAAAATCTCACTTGGATTCAGGTGTAGCTTTGTAGCTGGCAGACACACCAGAGTGCCAGTTCTCACATTTTCCAAGCTTATTTTCACAAGCTACACAGTGAGGATGGAATAAGGTATCAAGGTAGAAAATCCATTCATGCCTCTGGCACTGCGGAAACTGAGATGCATCCACAGCACTGATTTCCCAACAAAGGCCATTACCTGACTTTACATATTTGAGGATTTACCACTAATCCATTCCTCAGACCTTACACAATGCTGAAACAAATCACACAACAATCAGCAGAAGAATGAAAGGAYAGATGCCATCCCATGCATGGATCGTACCCATCAGCTCTCTGAGTAACTGGTTCTGCACGGAACAGTTACAGAGTCAAGCAGAGCAGAACTTTATGATGTACCTTGCACACAAACACACACTCATATACAATCTGAGCTTCCAATTTTGCTTTGTCAAGAGAAAGCACATTTCTAAGCCTTCTGGCTGTGATGACAAACTGGGAAACACAAACCTTGATATCTGCTCAAGTCCATAGAGCGTTGTAAATGGTGATTCATGCATGAATTCCCACTACCCATTAATTTCAAAGTGTAAGCACTTAGGCCACAACAATGGTTTAATGTCCTGACAAAAATGGGAAAAGAAGGTTAGCAGAATTTGGGAGTGACCGTCAGGAAATAAAGACCATGCTTGGAGGACAGCAACAGGGAAGGGACAGGAAAAAAGAAGTCAGAAGTTAAGGAGCACAGCTCTCTAAGCCAAATGAAGTTCAGCTACCACCTGTTTCCAAAAGCCATGCTTTCCCCATCCAGCTCTGTGCAACATCCCTTAAAACAATCTGTGGCTGACCAAATACAAACCCCTCCTACATTACTTACCCAGCCTAAAATGTACATTTTAGTTAGACATCTTTTGCAAGTTTTATTCTATCTTGTGTAACTCATTTAAGTGAACACAGAATAGCCTCAACACTGTGGAGGTTTAGGTTGSATGCTAGGAAGAATTTCTTCAGAGAAAGGGTGACTAGATGTTGGAATGGACTGCCCAGGGAGGTGGAAAAGGAAAGGATACTGGAGCTGTTTAAGGAAAGCTGTTAGATGAGGTGCTTAGAACCATGGTCTGGTTGACATGATGTCTGGTCAAAGGTTGGACCCAATTAYCTCAGAGGTCKTTTCCAACCTAAGTGAACCTCTGTGAAGTGACAGGATATTTGCAAATACCTGGTTTCAAATATGGCATAAATGGTCCATATGAGAAGGTTCTGAAACTCAGTAATTGCTTTTAAAGAAAGAAAAATTAGCTAGAACATGTAATTTGGCATTACAGTAAGAGCCCTACTGTTGCTCGGTCTGACCGAAAAAGAGGCGTTTCAGAAATCATAATTTTCAGTACTTTGGAACACTGAATAAAAGCAACTAACCCAGACACATGCAGACAGCTAGAAATACAAGGACATGACTGTTTTATGATCCCCCTTGTACTTAAAATGAAATTATGARGAACTTTTTTAATTTTGGATTTTTAAAGAACTGTTTTTCTAGTGTTGAGTTCCTTTGTTCAAGCTGCTGCTGCATAAATGCATACATTATGGGTATTGCATCTGCCATTCACATGATTTCCAAGTTAATACCAACACACCAAATGGAAATATTTAAAATCAAGATATGCAGTGTGCATTGCAGATCCAAGACAAATGCAATTTCCATCCACAGCAAAACAATCTTGCAACAACTTCATTTCCATCATGGTTCTGTGTATCCTTGCCACTCTACATACAGCTGCAGAGTTTATGAAATGGCTAACATGATGGATTTCCCACGTTTAAACCAGGGAAGTCCACCCATGCCTGCAGTGTGTTTCTGCAGCTGTCCCTGTACAGCCTCACAAACAGCTGGAGACTAGTGGTGACACATCCAAGCACAGTTCCTCTCAGACCCTGGAAGTATTCCCTGATAATAAAATTGCATGAGTTAAATTAAGCATGGAGTTATCAAAGAGAGGTTTGGCCTTTGAAGAGGAGACAAAGAGAATGGGTGGCACCTTAAAAAAGAAGGCAGTGAGTAACAGGTAAGCAAACTGTGTTCGCAGAACAGCTGACACTAACATTTCCCATATAATCAAATGGTGCTACCACAGTTTAAATTGAGGGATTATATTCCGCTGTCTAAACTCGAAGTCTTTTCAAAAGGCAACAATTGTAAGAGGTCCTAAAGACAGCATTATTTTCTGTGGGATGAAGAAACTAAAGTGATAAAGTGAAATAACAATTTGGAAATACTACTAGTAGTATTACTACTACTGTGTGTCAGAATGKTTTTCATGCACAGATAATGCAAATAATCCTTTACGTTAGCCTGCAATGTTTCATACAAATTCACTCATCAGCACAGTTGAGTAAACACCAAATTACCTGAGGGATAGTGAGTACCAACCTTCCCAGATGATGCCAGGCCCAGCACCTGAGGCACATACTAAGACTACYTCTGTGTAGTGATAAAACATTTACACAAGTGAAGCATTTGCCACGTGAAAGGGAGAACTGCTAATTAATACCTACATCCAGATAAACTGCAAGGAAGAATCTGACATGTGCAAACAGCCACTTTTGCTTATTTAAGCCGATGAGTCACATGATTAATTGCCACACTTTGCATTGTTCAGATAAGGTCTAAAGGTACAAACACGGAAGAACCTACCAGGACTTTCCACCCGCTTGTAGTGGTAGGGATTGATGCAAACCTCCTTCTGTTTTGAACCAAAGGGGAACTCACAGCATTCCAGAGGTTTCAGTTCGTGATGGCTCTGCAGGTCTGGCCAGCGCCACACTCTGCAGTAAATGACGTGTGGGAGCCCTTTCCGGTGCGACACCTGGAGCCGGCCGTCCAAGGAACGAGGAATTGTGACACAGTTGCTGGGCTGACCAGGACAGCTTAGTGCTTTTTCCAGCTCCTCCATAGCACCTTTTTTCTTCTTCAGTTTTTTCACTAATGCATCAACAGCTTTCTCTGCCCATTTCTCYTCTTCATCCCCTTGCTTCCACCCCAACAGCCTCTTCACTGCCGGGCTGGTGAAGGAGAATAAACTTGTCACATTCATGGTGACCCCACTGTGGTAATACCACAAAACCAAACAGGAACGACTGCCCTGTTCTTCCACCACCACCAGGGTACAGCAGATTGTGCCAGCACTCAAAAGCAGCCTGTATCAAACAATTCTGGTCCTTTCTCCTTTTCAATCCTCCAGTCCCAGGAAGGCAGAGATGACATCCCCCCTTGATGGTCACAACCTTCTCATTATTCTAAATCCTTCTGGTTGACAACCTAAAGGAGAGTATCAGAGAGAGAAAAAAAAAAGGGTTTTGTCTTTTAAGTTAATATACAGCAGTTAAAAATATCCCTCACTTCAAMCCAGAAGAGTGGTATGATCAAAAACAAACAACAACAAAACAACAACAAAGGGCTAACAACCTCCAGGACTGGACTCAGAGCAAATCTGACAAAAACTTAAGCAGCTGCTGCTGAAGGCAGTACACCCCCATATTAGAAATGTAGTTCCCATTAAATCTAGCCTAAAACAGTCCCTCAACTCAAATTTTTTCAGTATTAAGTGTGAGGGCTGCTACACTCTGCCCATCAGCTGCTGCAGCCTGAATGAGCAAAATATCCCAAAGAAACAGTGCARGATGATTAGTGGGGTTTTTATCAATTAGCTTAGAGAGCAGCTGGAAGCAATATTCCTCAACAGCAATGTGCTGCTCTCTCCAAACAGCCAGGCATGAACCTCAAAAATCTCTGCACCAGGCTTGAGCATAACTCAATCTGAATTTAAAAAAATAAAAACTGTTCAGTTTCACCTCTGCCTCACTTTGAGGAACAAAGCAAAAAAAAAAGAAAAAATGAAACTAGGAAGATGTGAGCCCTCACTCACTCACTCACTCACTCACTCACTCACTCACTCACTCACTCACTCACTCACTCACTCACATGAGAAAGAAAACTGCATCTCTCCCCCCCCACCCAAAAGCCCTCAGAGCTCCTAAGCAGCCTGTGAGGGAACGCTATCATGAACTTCACCGATTACACACTGAYCCTTTCTGCTGCAACGTCTGCCTGATATACTCAAGGACACATGAAGGAGTGGGAAGGATGAGGAAGTCCAGATAAGAGGACTTTAGACACCACAGTGGTCCTCAAGCTGGGASAGAAGGAATGGGACTGAAGCGATGGGTCAAGAGGGGACGGAATGCCACATTTGCAGGAGTTCCAGCTGGGAGCAGCAGGTTTTGTACTTGTTCAGGCTGGGAGCAAGCGAAAGGCTCTGGCAWGGGAAACAGAAGAGACCTGGGACTGGCAGGGAGGGGAAAATGAGACAAAGAGCAGCACACCACTGATTTTCAAATAGACAGACAAGACAGGAAACATATCCTGGACTGGATACCAACAGGGTGCAGAGGAARGGGGAAGGGGAAAAGGATATGAATGTTTTTGCTGCCATCAGAACAACACAAAAAACACTCAACCAACCAGCAATCTATACACACAGAGAATAGAAGGTGTCAGCATGCCCACATCAGACAGGATTTCACAGCTATACTAACAAAAGACTGCAGACCTTAAAATTGCAAATGCTATGGCACACTTACTCTCTTGACTGCCATACGCCACAACASTTTCAYAGTACACCACTATAGTTGAAGAAGCTTAAGTTAAAAACCATCCACTTTATTCAAATTAACTTGTCACTGAAATAGTTATCTAATTGCAGAGTTTCAGTTTTATTAGGCTSAATGCATAAACTACATTTATGTGAATATGATTATGGACTAAGACACAGGCAACATCTACCCTCCTGTGTACAGGTGGTACATCCCATTTATTTTATGCTAAGAACTGTATTTGAAATAATAATGCAAGGGAAAATTTTAATGAACCTGAGGCAAATTTAAGAGTTTGTTTTGTTACTTGGGCATGTGCTACACTGTTAAATGAACTGAAACTCCATTACTGTCACTGACTGTACTCCAGGTATACTTTATCCTTATATGCACTGTAAAGTGCTCTATTAAAATGCTGTGCTAATTTAAGMACTGAATCACCAGAACCCCAGTGCATGTGCCTTAAACGTTTACAACTGAGTTACTCTCAACTCATTTATAGTCTGTCTCAAACAATATTCTAAGTGTCTTTTTTCYGCACTTTTCAAACAAAAGAGACAAGTTCCACACACAAAAGTTACAAATTCCAGTAGTAAGGCTTTCTATTTCACATGCATTCAAATTAAACAAGAAAGATTTAAAAGGCTTCAGTTGAAGCTCTCATAAAGGAGAAAGTACAAAGTCTARATTTCAACCCGAGCTTCATTCAACATTGATAATGTTTGCATAYGTGGCTCTGCCTAGGCCTGACCCATTTTTCACCAAGCTACTTGCTGTGAAAAAGGGAACAGTCCTGTCTATTAGGATGGTATGTTTATATCAGTGCCTGAAAATACAACCCTAACATGAGCCAGTACATGAGCTCTGCACAGACTAAGATGACATTCAGATGCAGCTTTAAGTAGTCAGACTAAAAGAACAGATTCTCTGAAGTCTTCTGAAGTTTTTTGATCAAGTCTTGCAGCACACACATATTCCAGTCTCACAATCATGCACTCCAAAACAAATTTCACCCTCACCATCAAAGGTGTGGTGGATCTCTTTGGCAACAGCCATTGTGAACAGGAGGAACATCATCAGGCACAGCRCTTCAAGGTGTGCTTGGAAGTTAACACAGCTCAGCAGGACCCAGCTGGCCACCAGCCTCCAGTCAGGGATTCCTGCTGCAGTCCTGCCTCCAAGCACACTCAGCAAGATAAGGAAAGGGAGAGAAAACTCACAGGCTGCTGTACACTAGTTACTCTAAGCTCCAAAACCATTAGGCTAAAAAAATTTAAACAAASAAACAAACAAAAATAGRRAAACACAGTAACAACAACAAAATCACACAAATAAAACCCAAACCACAGTGTATGTGGAGATTTTAATTTCCAAGAAGCAGACAGCTTGTCCACAGAGCTGAGCCCTTGCCAGTACATTCCATTTCCCTTTCTGCCACTCTTGGTTTCTGCACTGCATCATTTCCTGTATTACTTCTGCACAAAGTGGCCTTATCAGCTGGAAGTGCAAAATAAAGATTAAACCACGAGTCAACAGATGACACAGCCTTTCTTCCCCAAATACACGTGCCCTTCTGGGAAAGAGGGAGTTAGTATTTCCAATAGTTGAGTGACCACTAGCCCTTTCAGGGTCTGTTTACTCACGAGGTAGGGATGAAACAAAAACCTGGGCCAAACAACAGGACACTCTCCAAAAGGCAATCTGGTATCAGTTGAAAGRAAATTGAGTTGTTACCCACTTATCAGGCACTTTTTACATATCCAAACGATGCACTCTTTATTATGTGTTCTGTTCAMTGATGGATGACTTGGAATCAACAAACTTCTTTCAAATCCCAGTGTTGCCTTATTTGTCTTTCTTCACTGCTGTTGCCCGTTTTGTAATCTTTGGACTAACACACAAACATGTATGCAGCCTACAAAAAAATGTGAGCCTTGTATTTTTATATATCTGTTCAGCCATTCTTGTACGTAAACAAACATATTTAGGCAAAATGCCTAAGAATGAAGTTCCATTTTTCTAGCCCTCAACAAAGAGACAGTTACCCCGTCAGCAACATGAAGCAGACAGTAAAATATTCAATGAGACTGTTTACAAATTCCCACAGGAGATCCCATAGGAAACTATCCCACTTTGCATAAGTGACTGTTTTTGATGGGTGGAGAAAGCGTTAGGACAATTAGATGATCCTCTCCCAGAGGGGTGGAGGGGGAGCAAAACAACTTCTATCCCAAGTTTCAGGCAAACAAGAAGTGGCTCTAACTCTTCTACTAATTTCATTATTTGTATTATAGGCTCAGTCATGAAGGCAAAAAGGATCCTATGAAGTATTTTTAATATATGCTTAGCACAGTTAGACATAAAAATGGGCAGGAACCACAGTGAGTTAATAGAGAAAACTGTCTAGTCTATGACTACATTTTAAAAACCCAATTTATCTTAGTCAACATACCTCTTAGTAACACTGTAAAGAAATAACAAGGAGATTTTAATTTGCTTCTTTAAAGACAGTAATTTGCCCGCTCTAAGAGAAAATACTTTCAGCAACTCATGTATTCAGTACAGTATTTAAACACTCTTTTTAAAAWAATCAAAACCAAACAAATTTTGGCATAGAAGCCAGGGAGCGATCACTTTATTCCTGCAGGAACTATTTCCATGTACAATTTCCATGTATTACTAAAAAGCATGAAGTCTAAGCAGCTGCAGTGATAGAATGTGTAATAACATTGTGCACTAACTTCATCCAGCTCYCTATTCTTAGAGCTAGCAGCAAAAAGTTCAGATTTCTTTCTTCAAGTAATGTAATGTGTAAAACAGAAAGCCCAGAGTCTTCTGCTGAACTACCCTGTTTTTAGTCAACAAATTCTTTCTTTGCACCTCCTTATGGCAGAAGATCAGMTCTTGCTCAGCTTGGAAAAATGCACTGAAACCTGGTAGAAACCTCAGTGACATTACAATACACACGCAAAAACAAAAGCAAGTGGTTTATCAGAGCGCTGTAGAACTCATTAGAGAACCTGTACAAAACCTGATTCGGCTTCCCTTGCAGTTTGGAAAACAACAACCAGAAAAAGAAGAAAAATTAACTCTTTTATGTTCTCTATGCATGGTAGAAAGAATTCAAGAAAACACTGAAATATACAGTCCTGTGTTCTGATATACAACATATTGTTCGAAGAAAGAGAAAAACATCAGTGTTGAAAATACCTCATCATATCTAACAGAGTAGGCAGTTTTTTTCCTGACACTGCATTAGACTCCCTTCCTTACTCAGACCCATCAAGGGGGTAGATGGCTATATCCAGCTTGTTCTGTGAAATAACATCTGTTACAGCCCAAAATACCCAGTCTGTCAAAAGTCCTCTTGGGCCATCTCTCACACTATTTGGCTGAGGGATTGCCCTTCTGAGAAAACCTCCCATGTATAATGTACAGCCCAAAGGGAAAATCCTGTCAGATACCTACTAGCACGCTTAAGTTCTGCAGGTGGTGGGAGAGCAAAATGAAACCGCAGAGGCACTGTAAGATTTACCAATGAAGAGGAGGAGGGCAACAGTGACCCAAAACCCAAAAAACCSACTGCCCTGTTGGTCCAGAGTATGAAGGGATAATGTTACACTATCAGTATCTGCCAGTTCCTTCCCAGTGCTCACCACAGTTCAA